GGAGTGCGTCCAATGCAGATTTTCATTCGTGGTTAATGGTATGTGTTTGGCCCTGACATGATCAACGAGTACAATGGCCTGCAAGGAGTTCAACAGAACGCTATTACGGACTGGGGTGTAGTAGCCAAAACGATCACTGGTGGACAAGCTGATAGATGGCCTACTGGTGATAAGGATACCTTACCTAGCTCTCAGCTCACCTCCAAGTGTGTGATTCTTCATCGTCTTGCACTGCATAACTGGCTCCCTTCGGCTCATTTCCATACTGTTGGCAAGCAATTGGCCAGTCTCCTATTCAGAATTGGAACAAAGATGACCATTGATCTGGGGTCGTGGATCTACTACCACATTCTCACTCTTATTCACCATAGAGAACAGAAGGTACGACTGCCCTTTCCCAATTTGATTTTTGGAATTCTTACATCTCAGGGCCTTGAGCCTATGGCGAGCGAGGTGATCAGTCCGACTCTTCTCTACACGGTTGATCGGCGTCTCTTGACTGGAGATCATATATGTGATGTTACACTGGTGACTGCCCCCTCCAATTCTGAGGCTGATACAGTGGCGGATGACTCGCCGCATGCACGAGATCTTCAACTCTCTATCCAATTGAAAGCAAGAGTCTCTGGGCTCAAGACAGTTCATGGCATAATTGCTAAACAGCTAACAAGGGCTCGTACGGAATTAGCCACTGTTCTTCTTCGTTTAAGCCTGACTGAGGCCACTGCTGCTGATCCTGTGAAGTCTGACAGTGAGACTCCCTCCAACGCTTGACCTGGCTTTGTCTCTCTTTTGGCAAAAAAGGGGGAGTATGAACTCAGGGGGAGTTGTTTGTGTTTGTGTACCTTCTGGCCCTGGCTGGGCGATTGTTTGTGATGGCACCTCTTTTTGAAGAATGTTTTTTTTTTTCTTGACTTTGTTTTGATCCAGCATGACGTGTATGCTGTGTTTTTACTTCTACTATGTTATCAAATATTGGGTTTGTTTTGTTTATGATAACCTATCGTAGTCTTTTGCAGTATTATACTTTTTAAGTAGTCGAGTTGTTTTGCCAAATTATAGCTAAAGGGGGAGTTTGTTAGTGTTTTATTTGTTCGAAACACCCCAACTTATAATTGGCAATATTATTATGGCATACTAAGATAAGATTAGCTTAGTGTCAGTTTTGTTCTACAGAGGACTGATCAATCAGACACAACAACAGAGGGACTGACACTGAAGATCTGTTTTAGGAAGCTGATTTCTTAAAGGCTGTACGCGGTTTAAAGAAGACAAGTTTCGAAAGAAGATCAGCGTATATTTCTTGGAAAGGTATGGACCGAATCTTTAAGATTACATTCTTCAAATATTGTCCTACCATCTACAATCAAAGATATCTATGGAGAGTGTTCTGATGATGGAACTATAAGTACTCTTGTTCGACGGGAATTAGGGTTACGCTTTTGAGAGAGAAGAAACACTCCGTATGAATTTATGAGATCCCATCTTTGATTATACTGCTCCTTCTCAACACAACATGTGTATGATGATTATGATGAAGAACATGAGAAGGATTCTTGTTGCTTAAACGAAAGGACACTACGGTCATACAGTTGTGGGAACAACTGAACAGAGCGTCACTGAAGTGGACTGCATCAGAATTGGCTCTCCAAGAGAAGGGATTTCTTTGGACTTCTGGATGCATGGCTCTCCATCTTTAACAATTCACTAAACCTATGTAGACTGGGTACGTACCTTGTGTGGGGCACTTGGGTGAGATTGTTATTTCTCTACCTTTGTACATTGGATTATGATTTAGTGGATTGGACGCCTAAGTGATCGTCCCCCAGACGTAGATACACACTTTATTGAACTGTGTAAACATCTTGTGTGTTGTTGTGTGTCGGTATCTCTTTCTTTTATCTTTTCTATGATCTATCTTACTGACTGGCTTTGTCGATGAATTAGCCAGTCTATTTCATCAGTCAATTAATCCAGTAAACTGGCTTTCTTTAGGCCTTTGACGTGTCATACCTCTTGGATAGTGTGAACTGTACCATCAAACATTTTAGCTTGATAGTACCAATGCCAGCAATCTCTAATGCATGGTCATCTCCCATGAACACTGATCCTGCAGAGACAGGTTCATATTCATGAAACCATTCTTTCCGTGAGGTCATATGCCATGTTTCTCCTGAGTCCATTAGCCAGACATCAGCTAGATTTTTCATGCCTTCAACAATTGTTGCTGCTTCACCAATTAAAACATCGCCTGCATCCGATGTACTCACAACACATCCCTGAGCATTTGATGTTTCGAGATTTTTGCCTTTGGCCCCATCCTTCTTGAGCTGCCGACACTCACTCTTGTAGTGCCCCTTTTTGCCACAGTACGTGAAAACACTTGACATTCTTCTTACCCCTTGACTTTGATCTACCTCGGTTGTGACTCCCACTGGAGCCAGGCTCCATTGATCTTCCTCTTGTCACTGTCAAGGCCTGAGATTGTGAGATTCCAACTTTGTCTTCTTTGTTTTTGCGCCGGCTTTCTTCTTCAAGAACCACAGCTGCAATATCATCGAAGACAAGTACCTCCTTGTTGTTGACTAGATTGATAATGAGTTGATCATATGAATCCTGTAGACTTTGGAGTAAGACTTCAACTCGTTCATTCACTTCTATTTTATAACTCAACGCCGAGAGTTGTGAAAATAGAGTGTTGAGAGTGTTGATGTGCTCAGTTACTGAGGATGTCTCCATCATCCTGAGAGTGTATAGCCTCCTCTTCAAGAAGATCTTGTTGTGCAGTGATTTGGCCTCATACAAATTTATGAGAGTATCCCATATCTCTTTTGCCGTACTTTTTTCTGCCACACTTGACAGAACTTCATCAGCAAGTGATAAGTGCAGATTGGCAATAGCGTTGCTATCCATTTCTGTCCACTTTGCATCGTTTGTGAAGTCGACTGGTCTTTCTTCAATTGCTGCAACGCAGTTATCTTTCTTGAGAACCTCTTTCATTCTCATTTTCCACAACGAGAAACTGTTCCCATTGAACTTTTCAATCTCGTACTTTGTCGTCATTGTAAGTGGTGTTCTTGATCTTGAGCAATATATCTAAATAGTATCGTATAATAGAAAACTACCTGTCCTGTGAACAGTACACCAGGAAAATATTTCTGGAGAAGAGAGGTGAGTCACAAATGGACTGCTTAAATACCAAGTCTTAACCAGATCTTTTCCTAGACATGTACAATCACTTTACCAATATGAGTTCTAACATAAACGATACAGTACAGATATATCTATGAACCAGCCTGGGGCTCTGATATCAGTTGTTAGGATCGATACGGTTCACAACACCAAAATACAGTAGCAACTTGGACCGGAAATAATGAGACCATTTCTAGTGTAAGATTTAAAATAAATCATACACAAAATAAAGGCAATTTGAAGAAGGATTTTCTGTATTGGCAAAAAGATATTACAATAGGAATTGCAAATATAACTCTCTATTCTACTCTGTATATTTTTGCTATGCTAATGGGAGGATTCCTGATGGAATGGGATGAGATTGGATGAAGAGGAGTTTCCTATTTATAGCAAACCCACTCCTGCAAATTCCTCTTGCTCTTTCTCCTGAAATGAGCATCTTGCTCTTTCTCCTGAAATGAGCATCTTGCTCTTTCTCCTGAAATGAGCATCTTGCTTTTTCTCCTTAAATGAGCATCTTGCTCTTTCTCTTGAAATGAGCATCTTGTTCTTTCTCAGAAATGAGCATCTTGCTCTTTCTCAGAAATGAGCACCTTGCTCTTTCTCCTTAAATGAGCATCTTGCTCTTTCAGAGATGAGCACCTTTCTCTTTTAGAGATGAACACCTTACTCTTAGACCAAGAGTTTGCTCTTGCTCCTAACCTCATCAGAAAAAGGTTCTGCTCATTTCCACATTTGACTTTAGTATTTACAGGGGATTGCCTTCGAAAATCTCCATATTTATGTGGAAATTACTTCGTCAGCTGATGCCCTTTCCAGATGTTGTTCAGAGATTTGGGTACTGTTTGCCCTCCATTTGTCCGCTATGCTAGAGTGAAGCTGCTGCGATGGATCACCTCTTGTACAGCTGTTTGGACACATTTTCGAGGGATTTTTGGTCTGGCGGCCACAACTGCTAGTTCTATTCGAGCGGAGTGTCATGCGTGGTGGCTCATGACGGTTCCGGGATCAACAGTTGACAACCTTGCGCAGCTCATACCGTGCTTTATTCTCTGGTTCATATAGTGCTCTTACAATAAGTGGCTTTATGACGGTCTGGCTTTCTCATCTGTTGGTGTTATTACAAAAGTAAAGAAGGAGATCTTGCTGATGATTTCATTCTCTCGGCCGCTCCGACGTGATTCCTATGCCCAGTTGCTGCTTTCTGCTGTCTTGGTAGCCAGGTTCGTGGCCCCGCCGCGGAGAGTCACAGTTTGGATGAAATGGCTCGCGCCGCCCACGGGCAGGCTCAAGCTAAATACAGACGCCGCTTTTAGCTTGAATGCAGCCGCAGGAGGTGCTTGTTTACGTGACTTTGCCGGACAGCTTGTGGCGGGTTTGTGTTTTCGCTACGATGCATCATCAGCTCTGGAAGCGGAGGTGAAGGCACTTCATTATGCCTTCCAATGGTGTGCCACCTTTGCCAAATGGCCCTGTGAGATTGAGGTTGATTCCTTGGCCCTTGCTAGCTTGGCGTCCTCAGATACGACGAGGATCCCGTGGAAGATTAAGGAAGCGATCCTGTATGTCCGCTCTTGTCTGCACGCGTGGGCCTCCGCTATTAAACACGTCTACCGGGAGGTCAATCGTGCAGCGGATGCTTTGGCTGAAGTCGGACTTCGCTTTGGTTCTTCACGAGTATTTTGTACGATTGACAGTTTGCCTGTAAAAGCCAAGCTGGCTATCATATATGACTTGAGAGGCTTTGCCTCCCACCGTTCCGTTTGACATTAATAATACTTCTCGTTCCTCTTAAAAAAAAATAATTTGTGGTTTAAAATTCATACATATATGCATTTGGCAAATGCATGTTATTCATAGAGACTAGAAGCAAAGAATAAAAAAAACAGTTGCTCAATTCAAATTGTGATCTTAAGATTTGTGAGTTTAATTTAATTAATTTGGTCTTAATTGCCAGAAAACTAATTATGTATTGAAGTGGACACAGATCAGAAGATGTATGTTGATACTAGATTGTACGTACCGGGTGGCCGATTGAGCTTATGAAGTCTTCAGATTACAGTGTGGTAAGGTGCATGTGTTGGTTGCATCTATCTCATCTCATTTTCATGGAGCTTATGAAGATGCAAGCTAAGGAATCTCTGATCTTCTAACATCATATCATATATGCACCAACTTAGTTCTCAACCAACGGAAAATCATCTTTACTGGAACGTGCAACGCCTTTATTCATACCAATTAGAATCATTTAAGTCATCATCCCTGGAAAGTAAAACACCATCATCTATAGCATAGAAATTAACCATAGAAATTGAAATAAATTTGGATTAAATAAAATTAAGAAAATTATGGATTAATTAAAAGTTACAAGTATAATTATTATTTTTTATTTGAAAATAAAAGTAGCTAGAAATCTAACCGTAAAATATCAACAGTAAATGCGTTGTTTCCGTACTCCCGTTGCTCTTCTTGAATACACTTGGCAGAAGATATAGTTGAGTTTGAACATTTATATAACTTGATTGATTTGAGAGTAGCTATATCTGCAAAGTCACTAGGAATCTTTTCAAAGTGATACATGTTCATGAGGACTAGACATTCAAGGACAGGAAAATGGCCATTCGTGGCTTTCCAAATTTGTAGATCACAATCATGTATGCATAAGAACTTTAATCCATGAAATCCTCCATCTTTGGGTTTCCATTTTCTTCCAACACCAGAATTATCCTCCAAGATAAGGACCTCAAGCTTCGGCAACATCCCAACAACATACATATTCTTCCAATTTAATTTTGTATTCCTGAGTCTTAATTTCTTAAGATTTGGCAAAAAATTCTCTATGCTCAACGTCCCCATATAATGAAGAAGTTCGCCACCAACAAATAGATCTTCCAGTTTATATAAATATGCAAGACTTTTGAACCAACTGCCCTTAGATTTGGGATTCTCACCAGCTTTGCAATCCAGATTAATTTCAAAACCTTCAACAACTCCCAATTTCCTTAGATTTGGGATTCTCATAAACAACTCCTCTGTACAACTCTTATAATCCAAAAATCTAATGCTCTCCAAATTATGATGAACTGATCTTGGAGGAACCAGTGTAATGATTCCCCGAAGAGTGAGATTCTTCAATTGGGGCAATCCCCAAATATTAAATTGTTGAAATATTGAATCATGAACTTCAACATCTAGCTTCTGCAAATTCCATAACATGAACAACGGTAGAGAACTAAGTTTCACATTAGAAAAACATCGTAGACTTCTCAAATGCACTAGACCCATTAACTCAATAGATGCATAGAAATCGTCCACTGCCACGTCTAGTATCAATCCCCTTAAAAACTTAAAAGGATAATAAAACTGCTTACTATAACTGTAACTGGATAAATCCAAACTTGAAAAGGTACTGCAGGTATGAGATAAAGAGTTGTAACTGCAAATTTTTGATTGGATACTCCATGGGTGAGATATACAAGAGGAGTTTATTAGTTGAGTTCTCCTAAACCCCACACTAAAGATAGAGCTATCATCTCTGAGACATAATAGATTCTCCTTCTCAGCTTCTCTCAAGGCCAATTCACGCAACACATCATGCATTTGATATACATTCAATGATCCATTAGTACTCATCTTTGTAGAAATTAAAAGGAGATTCCTATCTACAAGATCTTGTAAGGATTCTCTTGCTACATCTTCCAAGCTCTTAGACCTCAAAACCTTTAGAAATCCCTCCGAAACCCAACGATCAATAATAAAATGTTCAGGAACTTCAAAGTCTTCTTGAAAAAGCCCAATTGACAAGAAACAATGTTTAAGATGATGAGGTAAGAAGGTGTAACTCAAGTCAATGATGTTTTCACCCTTCTCATTAGAATGATCTATACTTAATGTATGAACATTTTTTGCAATTAGCTCCCATTCATTTAAGTCTTGTTTGGGGTTTGAGAGGATTCCAGCAACCACATTAATTGCAAGAGGTAAGCCTTTACACTTCTTTACTATCTCTCTACCAATTCTTTCAAATTCAGGGGACAAAGTCATTCCCAGGGGCAACACCTTGTTGTGAAAAAGGTTCCAACTTTCATATGAATCCAAAAAACGCATTGTATGACAAAAATTACTATCTGAACCAGCATAATCAGCCACTTTTTTAAGTCGAGTGGTCAACAACATTCGGCTTTGATTGTTATCATCTGGAAAACATTTCTGCAAATCACACCAAACATCTGTACTCCATATGTCATCAATTATGATCAAATACCTTTGACGTTTTAGACATTTGTAAACTACCTCAGCCAATTCGTTGTTGCTAGTTTCATAGTTTTCTCCATAGACCCCTGGGGCAAGAGAACGAAGAAGGGCTTTGAACACTATTGTTGGATTATACAGCTGTGAGATAGTAACCCAAGCTCGACAATCAAAGCGAGAAATGAATGAAGCATCTCCATAAATTCGTTTAGCTAAGGTGGTTTTACCGATCCCTCCCATTCCCACAATTGATACAATTTCTCGGTGCTTGGATTGCTGGTTCAGATTATCCATTATCATGTTGAACTCATCATCACATCCCACCATTTCTATTGTAGTATGCTGCAACGAATCACCAACTGTAATGTTCTCCCCTTCCGGCCCTCTAAGTCTAAGAGAAGTAGAAGTATTGTTCCCTTGTGGGGTATTGGATTGATTGTAGTGTGCATTCTTAACCTTCAACACATCTTTCTTGATATAGGATGTAAGCTTAATTCCTTGCATGAAAAGTTGATTAATCTTATGTCGAGCCTGTATCCGTTGCTTCATGTATTTATTGAGATAACAGGGGGCTCTCAATTCTTGCGTGATTAGACTTTCTGCTTTACACAAAATAGGTTGTACCTCAGTCTCCCATTGATCATCACTCTCCTCCTGTTCATCCTGGCTCCCCTGTTCATCATCACTATTTTGTTCTTCCTTTTTCTCGCATTCATCCTCAGTCACCTCCTTTGTCTCCTGTTTATCCTCGCTCTCATCTTCATCCTCGCTCTCCTCTTCATCCTTGATCCAGTATTTTAAAAAGAGAGAACCATATTGTGTGCAAAACGATTTTATCCTTTTCTCTATTTGAGGCGGCATGCCTAATACCGGCAACATGAAGTGCTTTCCTAACATCTCCAACACCTTTAGTAGCTCTATAGTTTCTATGCGGCCTTTAGTTGCTCCATTCAATATGGGAAGAAGTTTTTGAGCAAAGTGAAGCCTAAGCCTCATGGATTTCCCCAGGTAAAACAATGTCAATTGGTGTTCAATTTGGAACCTTAGTTCAATGGAGACATCTCTCATTTGTGCTTCTAAAGTTTTCATTGCTTCATCACACTCCCCCAATTTGAAATCTTGTTCAAGAGAGATTTGCAAAGAAGAAAGATGTTTGTAAAGTAATCTGACCTTTGTTTTGTTGCGAAGAGGGAAACGAGGATTGGGTTGGAGGAAGTGTTGGTGGAGTGTATCCATTAAAATTGTTACAGCAGCAAAAGCCATAGCCGGTGATGTGATGTGATGTTGTAGAGAGAAAGAGCAGGAACGAATGAAGTTGAAAGAAATAACTCTGCAGATGAAAGGATGGGATTGAAAATAAGGACTCAATTTTTGCAGAGTAGAATTTGCAAAATAAGAATACCATGGAAAATCTTTCTAGTTCTCAATAACAATATTTTGAATATAGTTAATTCCCAAAATGTCCTCCGATTATGACCTTTTTTCAAATTGGTTCCTTGGCTTTTAATTGCATCTAAAGTGGTCCTCCGACTATTGAATTTTAAGCCAAAATGGTCTTCCGTTAGTTTTGGTGTTAAGTGGGTGTTAAAATGAGGGATAAAAATTGGTGTCTATTACAAAAATATAATATTGGTTTATAGGGGCAGAACCAAAAATGTTTGTCAGTGGAGGCGGAAAAAGAATTTCAAAACGTGATAAAAGAATATTTATAATAAAATATGAAATGCATGGTCGGAATAAATTGTATATCATCGCTATTAATATTACATTCATAAATACTTTTTAATTTAATTAGATCAACTCTAACTATTTTGTATTAATTTAAATACGATAATACACAATTGAAACTTTTAGATTATACTAGTATTTTCACCCGTGCGATGCACGGAATGGAATTGTGGTAATATATTAAGAATATTTAAATCGATATATAATTATTTAAGAGTTAATTTCACCAGAGGTCGTTTATCTTTCCTGACAATTCCAAATTTAATCATAGACTATAGTTATTAATTATTACGATTTATTCTATTTTACAACTCTTACGTTAATATTCTTACTATTATTATTGACACTTAATTACTTTTAGATATTATTATTACCACTTATATTATTATTATTATTATTATTATTATATTATTATTAGTTTCTTTTCAAGTACTGTTAGTATATAATGGTCGTGAGGCACAATAATAATATAACCATAATTAAATATTCTTGTATTGTATTCCGGAGTTAATGCCATTTTTGGTCCTAGACTTATTGAAGCATTGACACTTTTCATCCTCCATAATAAAAATTGCCACTTAGTAGACACTGTTATTGGTCGTTGGACAGTTTTGATCATCCGTCAATGAAGCCATTTGTTGACCGTGAATTAGATGGGCTTTTCTGTCTTTTTATGTCTTATTCTTCTAATCTTGTTTAGACCAGCGCTGCTGTGACTCCTGTGAGGCGAGATGGCGAGACTAGGCGGCTAAGTAGTAACCGTCGGTAGTGAGTAGCAGCGAGGTTCTTTTCCGGCGAGTTGTGGGTACGGCGGCGAGCATACGAGGCAATAACTCCTTCCGGCGACGGACCAGTAAGGAAGATCTGGCGGTGCAGCAACAGATCCGGCGAGGTTGGGGCCTTCACCGGTGGTTTTTGGTTCCGGCGAAGCAGAGAGGGCAGCAGGTCGGCAAACCCTCCTATGGTAAATAGCAGTTGTAGTTGTAGATGGCGTGATGTAGAATTTGCACCTGTAAGTCCTCCCTTCCATATTGACCACAAATATCCTTCCCATCTCTCTCTCTCTCTCTCTCTGACCACAACTACTTGGTGCACAACCTCAAAAACTCTGTTATTCTACCTGAAATTCATTGAAGTTTCAAGCTGAAAATGTGGAATCCGCCGCTCCCCAAAAATCGCATTGTCTGAGGTGTTGGAATGACCGGTGTTGACTTCCTGGCTGCTGTAGCTTCATTCCCCAACCCGGATGATAAAATTCGGAGCACCAGCTTTGAGGTTCAAGGAGGTGGTAACACTGACAATGCTTTGATAAAACCCGGATGATAAAATTCGTCTTGGTCTTAATCCAAGGATCATATCTAAGGTTGCTGATGACTCGCATGACGAAAGAATACTTGATGAGCTTGAAAGGGATGGTGTTGATACATCTTTTATGGTGGTGTCCAAAGGAGGAAACTCACCATTCACATATGTCATTGTTGACAACCAAAAAAAAAAAAAAAAAAAACTCGCACGTGCATTTTCACTCCAAGATATCCACCCATGATATCTGAGGGTCTACATAACCAAATCAAAATTGTCTTCAGCGCTTGGAGTAAATATTGTCTACTTAGATGGAAGGCTGCATGAGACTGCTTTGATTGTAGTGCAGGAGGCAAAGAGTAGGGGCATACCTATTATAGTTGATGCAGAAAGGTTAAGGGAGGGGTTGGGTGATATTCCTGACTTTGCTAGTTATGTTGTATGCTCGACAAAATTTCCACAGGCATGGACTAACACCCTTTCTATTCCAACTGCACTTGTTTCTATTATCTTGAGATTGATGTCAAATGTAAAATTCGTGATTGTTAGTTGGGTGAAGATGGTTTCTTAATGTTAGAAAGGACTGAAGCGGATAACCTCAGTTTGAAGAAATGGATGTAGCAGTGACCAATGGATGGAGAAATACAAGGATTAGAACAAAAAAAGACAGAAAAACCCTTCTAATTCACGGTCAACCAATGGCGTCATTGATGGAGGATCAACACTGTCCAACGATCAATAACAGTGGCTACTAAGTGGCAATTTTTATTATGGAGGATGAAAAGTGCCAATGCCCCAATAAGTCTAGGACCAAAAATGGCATTAACTCTTGTATTCCGTGAGTCACAATAATAATATAACAATAATTAAATATTGTTCAATTCTATATTGTTTTAGGAATTCTATTACCATCATTAATTATTCCCAAATTTAGCATAATTAAATAATTTGACCAAATATAAAGAAAGATTATTAAATAATGCACGGGAGAATTGTTTAATTAAAAATTTTAAAAATTCATTAATAAAACATAAGGTTCTCATAGTTTTTTCTTAGAAACTCTTTAATAAAGTATTTTTTTTTTTTAGAAATTGGTGGGCCAAACCGCCTACGGAAGTTTGTGGTGGATAGATCTCGAAAAAATACGCGATTTCAAAAAAATATTTGTCTAAAACGGACAACGGAGTCAAAAGTAATGCCTTGCCGAACTTTTGACACTTTACAACTTAGTGTCAAAAGTCAAAAGTTATTAGGAGGAGAGATTTTTTAGGAATTGGGCGGGAAGTTAAGATTTCAGGATTTTGTTTTTATATATAGTATAGATTAACTAGCTAGATAGTTCATAAAAATGAAATTTTGTTTTAAAATATTAATAGTTAGTTCAAATTGATCATTTGACTTTTAATTGCACCCAAAGTAGTCTTTTGACTATAGTGAAAACCCTAAATTACCAATTTTACCCCTCATTTTAACACTCACTTAACACCAAAACTAATGGAGGACCATTTTGGCTTAAAATTTAATAGTCAGAGGACCACTTTGGGTGCAATTAAAAGTTAAGGAACCATTTTGAGAAAATGCCATAGTCGAATGACCATTTTGAAAATTAACTCTTTTGAATAAGTAATTATTATCATAATCTAATTAACAAAATTAAAATTAAGATGTCACAATTACAAATTCACCAAAATAATTACACAATAATGTCATACCAAATTAATAATAAATAATCAAATTATAATTTGGTTCAAAAGACCAGTTCCTACCAAATCAACCAAATTAATAATAAATAATCAAATTATAATTTAACTCTAGCTATTAATTCAAAAATCATTTTTCAACTTGATAGATGACCTTATTAATTAAAAAATCACTTTTCAACTTGATAGATGAATAGCTTCAATTCATGAAATTAACATTAGAATTTTGATTATTAATTCAATTTCAATTAATTCGATTCAAAATTAATCAAATGACCACTCCTGATTATATTATGATATATACTTTATATATACAAATGAATTACATTTGTTAATGTAATTACGTACTATATCGACAAAAAATAAAATATAGCTTTATTATCATTTAGCATAAAGTGACTTTGATCTAGGAGAATGGTGAAGTCATATTCATGTTGTTAGGAATAATTGTAAAGTTTTGATGAGCCAACTGTAATTTTGAAAAATCAGTAGTCCCCAATTTTATTTTATTTGAGTCAGTCCTAAGTCCACGGAGTATGGTGAACCCATATCATGCAACCCACGTACAAGAATTGAAGCTCACAATTTATTTGAAGAGTTAAGCAGGATTATAGCATAACACAATTATGTTGCGTATAAATCACCAAGAAATGCTAGAAGGGCTGGAAGATACCCTTATGATTTATACCGAATGGTGAAGTGGGAGAGACTAGGCACTAGTCTCACAGAAGCAATGCACCAAACGAAGCAACACACCATGCAAGGTGGACCAAGTACAAAATCACGAGACAAAGATTCTTATCATATACAGCTATGAAGTTTTTGCAGAGGTTCCAATATTTCATTTTACACGGACTGTGAAGAAAAAAATGGCCGAGATATTTTTATCTGAACAACAACATTTTCGAGCGATGGAACCGGAGACACTCGAAGAAGGTTGATTCACGAATATATATATATATTCATACTCAAGAAAGAATCAACAGATGAATTATCTGATCAACTTGATACGTCAGAACATTTATGAAGATCAAGGAAAGTCAAGCTAGCCACGCCTAACTTATTCAACTCTTGGAGGCTACAAGTTTAAAGAGACGACAACGGACAAAATATTCAAAGTATCTGACAAAAGGCAAATGACATTTACCTAACATTGCAGATCAAGTTGACAACTTTATTTTGGTCAACTACATACGAAGATGGACGATCGAGATCGAAAGTTGATCAACGGGCAAATAGCTCTTATTGGCTATGAATTGTCCAAGCAGACTTGAAGACTAGCACGATTTCGAAACCGATGAACAACAAAGAATATCCAATCAAATATCAAGTGATATATTGAGCTATACACGTTAGAATTCAAGTTTGAGTGAGAGAGAAATATTTCATTTCATTGTAAACATCTCTACTGAGTGTAGAAAGAGGGCGGAGTAACTAGAGAGAGTGAAAAACCCTGGTTGAGTGTAGCTTTATGCGTAGCACTCATTGTAAAGGGTAGAGTAACAAGGGGAGCTTGTGAAAACCCTGTGAGAACGTAGCTTTGTGCGTAGTTC